AAATAATAATAAAAAGAGCCTTTACAAATATATGCTGAGAATTGGATAGAAAGGAAAGATGGATCCACCCCTTCTACCAAAAGTCATGTACAGCTGCAGTCAGGAGGACTAAATCAAAGAGATGAGAGTACCAGTGAATTCTTCATTTCCTCTCAAAACAAGTCATGGTTCACTTTAATCAGCTGCAAAGATCATTTCAGAAAGGGCAGAATTGATAAGCTGGTTTTGATATGCTTATCTTCAGCATCAGCCCTAAACAATTTAGCTGAGGAAGTAATTTCAGGAAGAAAACAGCAGTAGTAAGCTGTTACAACTTCTGAAAATTAACTACTCTAGAGGGGTGTTTTGTAACATTATACCAACACTTGCTTTTTTCTACTACTAAAATTAGGTGCATAGAGAAAATGATCCACTTTATGAGAGTACATGTTTTAAAATAAATTCCAAACTGGTTAGTTCTCTTTGATGTTCCAGTAATTCACGTTAAAGACATAGGTAAGAAGGGAATATAAAAACAAGCACTTCCCCAATTCATCTCTTCAGCATGTTATGCAATTCATTTTTCAGTCTGACACTGTTTAACTTCCTGCTTGAATGCACAGAATTAAATCCAAGGAAAATAAGAAGCTATTTCAGAAAAAGAAAACAGTTACATAGATTAACCTAATTTAAATGCACAGGAAAAAAAAAAAGTCTCATTCACACTACAACAGAGTGGTTTTCCTAAATTCAGACTTTGAACAAAGCAGACATAAAACTTCTGATGCTGGTAAAGGACACATTCTCTGGGTTTGCTTGGACAGGAAGGTGAGAGTGACCCATGCAGAGAATCCCAGAGACAGGAGCTGTGATGCAGCCTGCTCTTCTTTGAGCTGAAAATGGAGTTTTCCCAGAGAAGGCAGGTTTCCAGCAATGTCTCAGGTACAGCTGTCAGCCTCTGGGCCACTGAGGGATGAGTGTGTAAAGTGCTTCTAAGACAACTGTGATTTCCATCCCAGCGAGCTATTGCAGCTGCCTTAAGGGAATATCAGAGGAATCCAGGTCCTTTTAGCCCTGCTGAAGTAGTTAAAATTGATGTCTTAAAGCTGATTCTGACCTTGGTCTGAGATTTACAGAACAGCACACAGTGAAAAGAACAGGCTTAATCCCTTGACAAACAGGGTTGTTTCTTCAGTGAGAGAGCTCAGCTCAATTAGTCCAGATATGTATCTCCAACTGTCTTGTCCTGGAAAACTTAAAGCACATCTGAATAAAACCTCTTTAATTTAATTCTCTTTAATTTAAGTTGAATTACATATCTCTCAAAAAAAATCAATGTATAAGGTCCACAAAGATGCTTTCTCTCTTATTGCTAAAAGAAATTAAAAGAAGTAATAGGTTCCCTCCCTGTTTAGAAAACCATACTGAGAGATGGATGCCAGGCACAGAGAATGTTTTGTGTCACCAAATAAAGACAATCAGGCATCTCCAAAGACATCATGATTTGTACAGCTCCTGTGCTATCAATTCCCAAGATTAACTCAGGAGAGTTTGTCAAGAGTGAACCTGTATCTGTATAGGGCCAAAAAGCCTTCAAACTATTAATATAAATATAAAATATAAAATCCAAAATATTAAAAAACCCTGCAGGTGCAAGTAGAGCCAGTAGGATTACACACAGTGTTAACCTTAACCTTTGTGGCTCTGCAAGACCAGGCTGTAACTCACTGCTGAGTGAGTTCAGTTTGTTCAGCCTGGAGAAGAAAAGGCTTTTGGAGAACCTTGGAGCAGCTTCCAGTGCCTACAGAGGCCCTGAAAGGGAGCTGGAGAGGGAGTCTTAATCAGGGAGCAGTAATAGATAAAATTGCTGCTTCCTTTTTTTTTCCCCTTTTTCCAGTCTTGCCCTGATTTTCTTTGGGCTCTTGTTATGGAGGTACATGTACCAGCCTGTCTCTTGGCAGGTTTAGGTTCTGGCCAGCCCATGCCAGGAATCAAATGGAATCTGAAAGCCATAACATGGTGGCTGGTGCTTCCCCCTCTGTGGTTTCCTTGCTTCACCAACTCAGCAAATCTGGGTACCCTGACAATGTCCTTGTTATGATGCACTTATATTTCCCCATTATGATGCTCTTATTTTCTTACAGTTTCCCCATCTGAAGAAAAGATGAGCAAAGATAACAGTAAGAAAATAAGAACATCATAATAAGATGAAGGGAAACTGTAAGAAAATAAGAGCCTATCTATGTGATCCCAGCATTGCTGAGTCCTCCAGAAGCCAGGTATGCTCTCCCTTCCTAGAAGACAGCCCCATCCCCATTGACAAGACCCCCAAGTCCATGTGGAGTCCATGTGGGTGCTGCCAGAGCAGCAGGTGGGATACTCCTGTGGAACCCTGCCCCACAAAAATGAAGTATCAGGCCCCCAGAAAGAAAGGTGAGTGCAGAACATCCCCCTGAGCACCTGCCAGAGCAGATTTTGGCTGGTGCCCTACTGTGCAAGCAGAGGCCCCTGAACTGTGGAAGATGCTCTGGCCACTCCCTCCTGCAGTTCCTGGTATTAACCCCACTGGCACCCCAGCATGGTTCTGGGCGTGACAGTGGTGCTGTCTCCAGGCGCTGCTCAGGCTGTGCCAGTGAGCTGACAGCAACATCACTGTGCCAGCAGGACAGGCTCAGTGTCCACAAGAATGGATTGGTGAGTCCCCAGAGCTGACATTCCATGGCTCCCAGCCCTCTTTTCCCCTCCTGCAGTACCAAGCCAGCAAGCTGAGCCAGACAGGGACCAGTGAAGAGGGATTCTGCAACTGTTCCCTGGTAGCCACAGGAGCTGACACAGTTGGCACAGAAGGTGAGGTTAGGAGTCTTCATGCCCCCTGTCTGGCAGTGCACAGGCCAGAGATGCTCTGGTAGCCAGCTGCAAACCACCCACCGCACCGTCATTTACTCAAAAAGGCTCATTTCTGCACAAATTAGGTATTTTGAGAGGGTACATGATGTTATCAGTGGTTCCTGTGGCTAGTGGTTCTCAGGGGGTAAGGGGTAGCCAGGCTCCCCGGGGGAGTGTGGCACTGACATCCCCTCAGGGGCTGCACCTGCCAGCTGGGGGCACCTCAGACACACCACTGCAGCAAAATTCTTGCTTGACAAAGGTAGGATATAATCAATTCCTAAAGACCCCAGCAGTGCACTGTCACCCCATTTCTCTTCACAGAGAAGAGCAAGGCACAATTCTTCCCAAGAATATTTCTGGGTTTCACATTCTCTGAACCTCAGAGAAAGGAAAAACAATTCTTACCATTTGCTGTGCCTGTGTTTGTGCAAAAGTAGAATGCAATATGGAGATTTTTTTTTTACCCAAAGAGATGTTATTTTGTTACCTTGGCCTGTCAGGGACAAGTGTGCGTGTGTGTCAGGACTGTGGGCTGACAGTCACGAGATTCTGTGCAGTGCGTGCAGACTTGAGTGCTTGGCAGATTCAGTTTAGATGTAATGTAATATAGTGTAATATAGTACAGAATAATCTAGTATAATAAAGTAACTAATTAGCCTTCTGCTAAGATGGAGTCAGATGCATCATTCTCCCCCCTCGTCGGGGCAGCCTGCTAATTGGATAGTGCACACTCAGAAAGCAAGCTATGAAACTTGCTACTTCCTCCTTTTCCAGTGTTTAGCCTTATTTTGGTTTTCCTCAGAACTCTGGTCAGCAAAGTTCACATCCCAGCCTGGTTCTCAGACAATAGGTCATTGCAGCAGTAGCAGGGCTTGTGTTTGGGGGTTTGGGCTCTGGCCAGGCCCACCAGAGACTCAAATGGAATCTGAAAATTGCAGATCTGTCACCAAGAAATTCCCCTTCTGTGGTTTCCTTGATGTCTCCAGCTCAGCAAAACTGGGAAATCCTGGCATAATTTCTCTGTCATGTTGCACTCATTTTCTCTCCTTGAAACCCTGGATGAATAGGAGGGAAGTAGCAGCAGGGACTGAGCATTGTGAAGAGGAAAACCCTGCAGCCACCCCAGCTCCAGCCCCACTTGTGTTCCCTCAGCCCCTGCAGTACCATGAAGTTGACAGGAACAAATTGTAGGATCATTTATGTTGGAAAAGACCTTTAAGATCATCAAGTCCAACTGTTAATCCAGCATTACAAAGTTCACCACCAAACTACATCCCTAAGCACTACACCTACATGTCTTTTAAATGTGTTTAGGGATGGTGACTCCACCACTTCCCTGGGCAACCTGTTGCAGTGCTAGACAACCCTCCCAGAAAAGAACGTTTTCATAACATGCACTGGTTCAATGTGAAGCCATTTTGTCTCATTCTTGTAACCTGGGAGAACAGAGCAACTCCCACCTCACTACAGCCCTCCTTTCAAAAAGTTGCAGAGAGCAGTAAGCTGCCCCTCAGGGGAGCCTCCTCTTCTACCATCAAAGAAACCTGTGGAAGAGGTTCTACAGCGACTTCTGTGAGCCAGAGAGAAGTTTGATAAGAGGATCCATGTTTACCCCTGAAAGGATTTTCCAGCAAGGTTGTTGACATAGAAACCAAGAAAGAAAGAAGGATAAATAAGAGAAAACTGCAACTGCTACTCCAATAAGAGTGGTGTTTGTCTTTTGTGACCAATGAGTAAAGTGTAAATTTATGAGTTTTGTAAGAATGTATAAAAAAGCATGCATGCTATAATAAAAACAGGTTTGAAGCCTTCTGAAAATTGAGTGTGCTGCTTTGTACTTGACCGTCTCAACTATGACACAAACCCAGCTCCTTCAGCTGCTCCTCATAAGACTTGTTCTCTCTTGAATCTGAAAATCACAGCCCTGTGGCTGGCACTTCCCTTTCTGCAGTTTCTTTGCCTCACATAATTTTCCTGGTATGATAAACTCATTTTCTTCCTTGAAACCCTGTGCCCACCCAGTGGTGGGGGTATAAAAGGAGATCAGCAGGAGCAGTGGCTACCATGCAGAGGAGAGCCCTACAGACAGCTCAGCTCCAGCCTCACTCGTGGCTCTCTCAGCCTTCCCAGCACCATGAAGGTCCTGGCAGCTGCCCTGGCTGTTCTGCTCCTTGTGGCCATCTGCTCCCTGGCTGAGGCTGATCCCAGTGTCTCCAGCAGTGCTGCACTTTCCAAGAGGAACGGTAGGTTCTCCTTCCCCAGGAGAGAGCCCCTTCCCCACTGATTAGACCCTCATGTCTATGGAGATGACTGGGAGCCGATGGTCATCACCAGTGCGGGGACTAAGCCTCAGAGATGGAGGTTTCCAGGGGGTGTTCCCAGAGGATACAGTACAGGTGATGGCAAATCCCCCAGGCAGAGCCTCTGCTGCAGTGTGGGATCTCACTGGGCCCATCTCTCTTCCCTCACAGAAGCCAAAATCCCCACCGCCTGCTGCTTCTCCTACATGTCACGCCCCGTTCCACGCAGGATGATCAGCTCTGCATACATGACCAGCAACCTCTGCACACAGCCAGCTGTGGTGTAAGTACCCAACATTGCTGGGATCCAGGGTGCACCAGCCAGGGCAGTGCCCCAAGGGTGTCCAAAGTTGTCCAGGATCAGGAAGGGCATGGACAGGGACAACCAGGGTGCTGCCAGGAGGAACTAGCAAAAGCACCCTGATGCCCTGACTGAGTGCCTCAATACTGTTTTTCCCAACAGCCTGGTCACCACGAAAGGAAGGAAGCTGTGTGCAGACCCCCGTGCTCGCTGGGTGCAGGAATACCTGGAGCACATGGAGCTTCAGGAGTACTGACTCCTCCCTGCTGCTGCTCCAGGGCAGAGTGCTCAGCCCCTACCATGAGGACTGCAGTAAGAGTGCTTGAGCTGCATCCTTCTTCAAAAGGAAAATTTATTACAATTGGCATACACTTGTTTAACTAAACTTTGCTTTTGCATAAATGCTTGAATAAAATGTTTGGCTTGTCAAATCCTTTGGGTGTCTCTGAAGTCTCTGCTGGAACCCCAACATGACAGAAAGGACCCATGGGGAGCCCTTGCCATCCCCACTCCCTGGTTTCACTGCTACCCATTGTGCAGAGTGGCCCCATGACAGCTCCCACAGTCCTTCCCTCTCCCCAGCCCGGACTCAGCTCCTGCATCCCAGCATGACCCAGACATACCTGTGAGGTGACACTGGCATCTCATCCATTTCTTGGGGCCCTCTCCACACAGCACATAACAAACCCCCTGGGCCAGGCTGGGCATCTCCCACCAGCTCTTTGACATACTTTCCCCAAAGACGAGAGGATCAGGACAGTCTGACTGCCTGACACCCCCACTCCTAGCCCCCTCCTACATTACAGCCCCTTGCAGTGCTGGAGCTGAGGTCCTGGTGCTCCTGGGTGCTGCTGTCCCCACATACACACTCAGTGCCACAGTGCTGCCAGAGGAGCAGGCAGCATTGTCCCCACCACTGCCACCACCTCTGTCCTCACACCACTGCCCAGCGCTGGGGACACGAGTGGGACCTCTCTGCAGGTGACACCAGCTCTGCCCCTGGGCCACACTCTGCCCCGCACCACTTCTGCTTGGGCCAGGACACACAGAACTGTACAAAAACTGGTCACAGAGGTAAAGGCACTGGAGAATGACATCCAACAAGCCAACATAAGCAAATGAATGGTGCCGCAGCCCCTCTCTTATTTCTAAAAATTTTTAGTGTAGTCAAAAATTCAGGGAAACAAATGCATAAAGCTGTGCACAAGTACACACAATACTAAAAGAAGACTGGGAACCTGTTGGAGTTTACAGAGCATAGAAGTTGAATTTATTTGCAGCCTGAAAACTCAATCAGTATTTCAAATGCCAAGATAGAACTATCTATTTCAAAATGACCCAAGAATACATATATACACTGTAATAATGAGGCTAAAAGAAGCTCTAAATCCTAAAATTGATGTGTAGAGCTGCATAAGTTTTGGGCAAGGCTGATGGACTTTCTGCATCAGTTTGCTGTACTTCAAAGCTCGCTTCAACTGCTCTTCAATGCAATGTATAGTTCAATGCAATGTATAGTTCAATGCAATGCTTTTGGCCACTTCTGCAATTCAGTCTTATAGCAAAAGCTTCTAGGTTAATAACACAAAATCTCTGACCTACGAAAAATGTGAAAGAGAAAACACAAGTCTTTTCTATTACTTACAAGGCAAAAATTACACACTGTTGTTGTAACTGTTGTTACTCCCTGGCACGCTGTTTTCACAAATCTCATTATAATTTAGGCAATCTATTGGTTCTTATAAATACACCAACCCTGGATTAAATACTGTGCATTTTCACAGCATCATGGAGTGTTTTTCCTTAATACAGCTTGACTTAATCCCCTCCCAAAACTGCCTGTTGACCACTGCACCCTTTGGCTGGCTCCTTGAGGAGGACACGCTGAGGTAGGAGGTTGGCACCATCAGGACCAAGAGCTGCACTCTGAGCACACACCACCAAGCCCAGAGCCATTCTCACACATCAGCCCTGGAGAACAACCTGTGAAAAACGCCAATCACTTGTTTTTAAAATTCTAAAAGTTTAATAGTAATAAAATGGTTATAAAAACAGTAATAATAATTTGAACAACTGAGATTAGGACAATACAAGACAATAAGAACAAAGAGTTCCAGATGGTCCAGGTACCTTTTCTGGGCAAAATAAGCCTAAAAAAGGACACATGTTAACAGAGGATTAACCCTTAAAAGCAATAGCCTGTTGCATATTCATACACCTCATATATGATGCATAAATTCCATTCAGACAAAGAATTCTGTCTGGTCATCGTCAGCTTCTTCCTTTAATCCTGACAGTGTCTTCATGACTGAGTGAGGCAGGAAGAAGTTAGTTTCTTCTGATAAGAGAGCAATAAATTCTTTTTCTCTGAAAGATTTAGGTGTCCTGTGGTTGCTATCTCAGTGTGAGTCCTCTCTTTAAAAAAAGTATCTTACATAGCATCGTTTCTATTTCAACATTATGTTATAACATAAAACTATATTTAACACACTACTTAAGAAAATTAATACAGCATAACTTTCTAACATAACACATACAATATTCATTTTAATATTTGCAAAAAGCCAATCGTAAAACACACATTTTTTACAAACCCAGCCTAGGTGTCCCTGCATTTCACACAGCCCTCCTTCTGCCCGCACCACCATCCATCCCTCTGTGCTGCCCTGGGTACAGGTGTTCTTCTCTGTCACCACCAAGGGGGAACCCGTTCCCATTCTTGCCTTCCACTCCTCGAGCTGCCACTTCTTTTTCTTTGAACTCTTGGGCATTGTGTTAATATCTGAAAACTTTGTTTGATGAAAGCAGCGGTGCTCGAACGCACTGTGTCCCCTTGTTCTCACACAGCTGACATCAGCACCGAGTGTTGGGGGGGAAACTACTCATAAAATGTGCCATATTCCGTATATTTTGTGAAGCAAGCACTGAGGAGAATGAGAATGTGAAAAATGTGTATTTTATGATTGGCTTTTTGCCAATATTAAAACGAATATTATATGTGTTACGTTAGAAAGTTATGCTGTATTAATTCTCTTAAGTAGTGTGTTAAATATAGTTTTGGGTTATAACAAAATGTTAAAATAGAAACTATGATATGTAGGATACTTTTTTTTTTTTAAGAAAGGACTCGCACCGAGATAGCAGTCACAGGACACCTAAATCTTTCAGAGAAAGAGAATTTATTGCCCCATTATCAGGAGAAACGAACTTCTTCCCGCCTCGCTCAGGCAGGACGACGCCATTAGGATTAGGAGGAAGAAGCTGACGATGACCAGACAGAATCCTGTATTGGAATGGAATTTATGCATCATGTATGAGGTGTATGAATATGCAACAGGCTATTGTTTTTAAGGGTTAATCCTTTGTTAACGGGTGTCCTTTTTTGGGTTTATGCTGCCCAGAAAAAGGTACCCGGACCGTCCGTAACTCTTTGTTTCTATTGCCTCATATTGTCCTAATCCAAATTGTCCAAATTATTATTACTTTAATTGTATTACTATTTTTATAATCATTTTATTACTATTAAACTTTTAAAATTTTAAAAACAAGTGATTGGTGTTTTTCTCAAGGAGAATGGCACAAAGAGAAAAACTCAAACCTCGCTCCCCTCACGCTCCCCAGACCCAAGCCAGGCTCTGGATTTCCGGCCTTGCCCCGGTTCGTCCAGCACCAACCTCCCGTCCCCGCAGGGCATCTCGGGAGTTGTAGTTCTACGCGCGGCGCAACATGGCGGCTGTGCGAGCGCTGCCGGCCCTCGCCGCCGCGCTGCTCCTGGCTGCCGCCGGCCAGGCCAGCAAGTACTCCCGGGAGGCCAACGAGGGGCTGGCGGCCGCCGACGGCAAGCGGCGGGAGGCCGGGGAGTTCCGGGTGGTGAGGCTGAACCAGATCTGGGAGAAGGCGCAGCGGGTGAGTGGGGTGGCGCTCGGAGGGGGCTCCGAGGTCGGGCCCGGCCGCTTGAGACACTCCTTCCCCGTCAGGGAGATGGCGAGGAGCGGGCACCGGTGTGTGAGGAGAGGCCGAGGCTGTCTGGCCCCGGCTCGGGGCTGCGATGGCTTTCGTTCTGTTCTCGGGCATGGCTATCCCCGACCGTCACGCAGCGAGCGCTCCGCTCAGCCCCGCGGCGGGCGGCTGTGCCTCCTCCCGGGACATGGGATGTGTGTCCGAGCCCTGGGATGTGTGTCCGAGCCCTGGGAGGTGTTCACCTGCCCGTGGGTAATGCAGCACCTAAACCGCATGGCTCCCGGGACAGGGATGTGTGTCCGAGCCCTGAGATGTGTTCACCTGCCCGTGGGTAACAGGGGATGTGTGTCCGAGCCCTGGGAGGTGTTCACCTGCCCGTGGGTAATGCAACACCTAAACCGCATGGCTCCCGGGACAGGGATGTGTGTCCGAGCCCTGGGATGTGTGTCCGAGCCCTGGGATGTGTGTCCGAGCCCTGGGAGGTGTTCACCTGCCCCTGGGTAATGCAGCACCTAAACCGCATGGCTCCCGGGACAGGGATGTGTGTCCGAGCCCTGGGATGTGTGTCCGAGCCCTGGGAGGTGTTCACCTGCCCGTGGGTAATGCACCACTAAACCGCATGGCTCCCGGGACAGGGATGTGTGTCCGAGCCCTGGGATGTGTTCACCTGCCCCTGGGTAATGCAGCAGCTAATCCACATGCCCAGGCAGTGGGAGAGAGAGGGATTTCCCTGTGGTGCCAGGTAGGATGTGCGCTTGGCTCCAGAGCTCGCTGGTTGAAAGCATTAGCCCTGCCGTTCAGGACTGGGATGCTCTCAGCTGTCTGAAGGCGGTGGCCTCGGTTCCTGCCCGGCACAAGGCAGAAATTCACTGCAGGAGAAGAGGAAATCTCCACCCTGGTGGTTGTGTCGCCTACATTTACGTCAAGTGATGTAGACAAATGCAAGAGGACCAGCAAATGGGTTTCACCACTCCCAGATGAGAGCCTTAATTTTGACAGTGAGTCAAAACAGTACTTGAGTTTCTCTCACTGTGGACTACAAAAGATGTTTAATTAAAGTGAAAATACTGTCAAGTTATTTCATTACAGTGGAAATATTTACTTAGAACTAAAAAGAACAGCTGCAGTGGGAGAAGAAGAATGCACTGCAGATATCCCCTGAATATTGTGGACCATGGAAATTAGGGTGGTGACTGCAAAGGTTAAGTTCTTTCAGGCTATGAAATATAGTTAACATTAATTTTGGATCTTCTGTATTCCAAATAGCCTGAGCTATTGAATTGGAGGTAGACCATCCCCAAATTCAGCCAGAAACTAGAACCCTGCCATTGTGCTGCCTCCCAATGTGCTCTAGGAAGGTATCAAAATTACTCCTTTCCTCGATGGGAGACAGATGG